ACATGAAGTTTATTATAAGAATGCAGTATTGATTTACAAATGTCATAGCATTAAAGAAGTATGAATAAAGTAATAGGCAAACAGGTAAGCATTGATTAGGTTCTTTTTTATTTACACATGCACGGAGATGTAGCTTTTCAATAGCAATTAAATTTAAAATGTTACTATTTCTTTATATGATTTCCTTAGCTTTAATATCAGAAGAATATCCCTATAGTCCTGCATTGCCTGGATGGATGGATGGATGGATAGATGGATAGATGGATGAAGGGAGAATAAATAGTTGGCTGACAATGTAAAATAAAAATCATGCTTGTGAATATTAACGTTCCCACACACAATTATTACTTCATATATCTTCTAATCTTTATTTCACTGAAAGATTCAACATGACATTATAGCATAAAGGAACAATTATTTCTTTTTTGAGAGTAAAGGCTTCTGTTTTAAATTTAGTATTGCTGTCTGAGAGCACCTTTCATGCTACTGTCGTTTAAAGCAAGAAACACACGCATGTTCAGTGTTTCAGAAAATCTTTGCCCTGTAATGCCAACACAACACCGTTAAAATATTTCCACTGCTAGGTGTGTTTCCTGTACCCCGAACAATGTTCCTAAAGACCTTACATTTTATATGTAAGGGGCATTACATAAAAAGGTCAAATATATTTAAATATTTCATATTATACGCTGCATTACATAAGAATAAGAGCAATAAATGGGCTCTGGGTTCTCAAATATGCATCAAGTATTTTGGTCAAAATGTACTAAAATTTTTTTTAAATAAAATTCTATTGGTCTGTTTGCTGCAGGTATATTAATTCTTTTTGTTGTACTGCTGGTACGCTCAGCGCTTCCTCTCTGTGATGCTGTTCAATATTCTGGATCAAAACCTTCAGAGGCTTGTCAGCACTGGCCGCCAATCATCTGCTGCTCCGCCAATATTCATTTTTAACGTCTAACATCTGTCAGCAGTTATAGTTTTACTCAACTAACAGGTCTCAAAACCCGTAACTGTTTGCTAACATGCAGCTGGCCATCGGAAGAATTCAATACATAGGACCTGTTTTCAAAAGTCTCCGGAGAATTGTCTATTTCACAAAGCAGTTGACCAAGCTCAGTGCAACTTTTAATATGCATGATTTTAGGTATTTGCACACATCTTTGCATCATGAAGATATTTCTTTTTTCCATTTACTTGTCATTTTTTGCTAATGTTAAATATTGTTTTAAAGATCTTTTTGTAATTTTACTGCTGTATTCCATTTGACTACTATGTAAAAATAGTATTTACTAAATGCACATTTTTTTTATTGAATTGAATACATAGAAACAATTTTTCATGTATTGGCTTCTTGAAAACATTGGAATACATCCATAGCTATAGCTAGAGGTCACACGCTGCTGGTCGTGTAAGTGAGAACAATGCAATATTTTGGTAACAATACAGAACAATAGAATTGTGGTGCAAATATGTATATCGCTTTATGTAGCAGATTAATCATATATTGAACTGACACTACATAAGAACATGGAGTAATAAATCCTGGCCATTCTTGTTTTTCTAGCTAATGTCATTCATAAAATAAAAAAAGAAACCTGAGTGAAAGATTCCGTAGGCAGCACGTTAAGATGTTCTCCTGTAAGTTGGATCTCTGTCCAGGTTTATAACGTTCTCCGTCAGGAAAGATACGGAAGAGCCATGCAGTTAAAGGATCCCACGTTCCATGCATTTAGGAGACGTTTCATAATGAGAGCCCATTTCCGGAGCCAGGCAGGCTGGTAATGTGCACTTAGACGAGACAAAACTGTTATTTGCTCCAAAGGATTTCATCGCAGATAAATCTGCGTAATTGAAATCACATGCCGCACTGACATGCTATAAGTACGCCAAAGCCGTGCTGTAAGCAAACTGAGAAGGTGGTGGCGGCTAGGGGGGCTGGGGTGGGGGGGAGGATGCTGCGCCAGGGACATATGGTTTTATTTCCGCAGCGGAGTGAGACCTAAGAGATGATACGCCGGTCACGGCAGGTCAGCCTGCGTCGCCGGCCGGCGGGGGCCACTCTGTCGTAGCACCTCTATCACCTCGCTTGTGTCGTACGTACGTCATGCTCGCTCGGCTAGCCACAAAAGCTCGGCGTTCCCCGTCTTCAAGCCAGGGCGGATTTTGAGCGGGACACGGCCGCCGACCCCATTGTCTTCGCCACGTGGCCCTTCCTGGAGTTCGGCGAGCGAGTTTGGCGCGTAGTTAAGGTGACGGAAGCCGCCGGAGATGCCCTTCCCCGCATTCCGTTAAAGGACGAAACCCGACGGAAGATCCTCACAGGAGGATGCCTCGGTCCCGTAGCCTTTCTGGAGGCAGACCAGTCTACGGACAGCTCCCCTCAGAGTGCCGGGGAGGCCCGGGGAATGACAGGGGCTTCTTGTGATGCCTTGCTGATGAGAGCCAATCAGCTGGCAGTATCTCAGGGGCGCTTTATTTATTTATTAATTTCTTCCCCATGCTTTCGTTTTTTTTTTTTTTGTCATCTGGCAGGCTCAAGTAAAGATGAGCTTGATTGACAGATGCATTCAGATTCACAGTTTATTGGTTTCTGCGAAAGAGCCAGATATGCCAATTTAGACAGGGGAGTGACAAAAAAAGTTTCCATCTAAATGGAATAATTTTACTACTGGGAATTCTCAGCTGGGGGAAGAACGGCGGCAAGTGTTTTTTTTTATATTTTAACAAGGGCTGAATGACAAACATATACGACAGTTAGAGGTTGACAGAACAGCACCGTTTGATGCTTCACAGGGGAGCTATGAAATAAACAAAAGGCAAGGAGACTGAATTTCAATCGCGGGAGGCCTGCCTCCAGTAGGAGGCCTGCCTCCGGTAGCAGCAGCAAGTATCGGGGCAGCTGCAGCCGGAGACGCCACAAGTCAGCCTTAAAGCCAAGACTGTAGCCGAACCTCCTTGATTCTGGAGCCCAGGTGCTGTGGATTTCACCTCTTTATCGGCGGCGTGTCCTGCAGAAAGCTTTCGAGGGTTTGAGAAGAACCAGGGGATGTGGTTAGCGTTCTGTCGGGTAGGTGGGAGGTACAGAGGTTCTGGTGGGGGGGGATCCTTCTGGTGCACAAAACACAGCCAGTGCTTCCCCTTTACCACCCTGCAACCCGCATCGAATTTCATTTAAATGTCTGTGAGATCTTTGGGTCATTGCTTAAGGTGTTAGCGATACAGCTAATAAAATCTGTGAGCTGTTAAGGGACTATGACTGAACTGCATATATACATAGCACATGTATTATTAACCTCTTAAATGAACTACATAGCAGCAGCGTAACCAAACAAATCAACTGACAAAACAAATAAAATAAACAAATACAACCAATTTAGTTTCTGAACAGACGAACAATAGCAAGTATTTCACCCCACTGATTACCGGGGATGTATAAAACATGTGTATTTTAATCCAAGGGAATAAACAAACTGTTTTTTAATTCCAATAATTAGCATATTTATCTGTTTATGTAGCTCCCCTTATATATGCTTATTAGGTAAACAAATGTCAAAGCCACAAAATGTCTGGTCAATTGTTTTTCCTCTACACAAGTTCCACTTTGGGTTTCAGACACATTGTTAATGTGTTAGGTAATGAGCACTAGAGACGGATAGATTATAATAACTTTTATACCAATTACCCACTGAATATCAATACTAGCCATACAAAGAGAGCAGAATATGCTGCAGAGAGGACTTCCTGGCCAAGCTAAACACCTTTCTCTGGAGCTGAATGCTAATTGCATTCAGACACAGCTCTTAAATATTTCTGCTTTACAAAGCGCCGAAAGGTTCAGTATTCAGTTTGCTCACTGATCCAGATCATGAAAAAAAAAACACTTTTCCTTATTCTGACTGCGGGCTTCAAACATATGATATAGTCTCTATCAAGTTCATTTATTTAACTAGCGCTTGTAATTAAAATTCAATTCATCGTGCTTTGCATAGAGGCATATATTACATCCTGCTGTTTTCCTGCTCAGCTGGTTTCTACATTGGACAGGATTCAATCAAATCTGCACCAAATCTGTCCTTAAACTTGAGCTGAATGACTCCTCTTTGTCAATGAACACAACAACTTTGGTCATGTTTTTAAAATGTCGTAAAATGCCGCCCAGTTTTAATTAGTGTGAGAATTACATCCAAAAATGATTTACTCAGTATTGCATGCCTATTGAGTATTAAGTGTAAGTCCCCTGAAAATGTTCATTATTTTTATGGTCTCACTATCAAACTTCCAGCATTTTTTGGATTAAAAGCAACTCATTGGCCCTTCATACTTGATGTAAATGAAACGGGAGGGTGCCCCCTCTGTGCCCATCAATCTATGAAAAGATACAGCTGACTGCTGGATGAGAGCTGGGATCATATGATCTACACGCCATGATCTCCATGCTAAGAGATTTGCTGATGCTTTCATTGCTGATTAAAGGAATGAACATATTTGTCGTGGATTCCATCCTCATTGAACACAAGGGGCAGCACATTACCTGACTATACCGTGGTGAATTTTACCTTGAAAATATATGGTAATATTTTGTATTCATCACGTGACTTACATTTACATGCCTAAACGCAGCAGTCAAGGTAAACATTTCAATCATCCATTACTATTCAGTCCTGTCTTCTATAATTTATATTATTTTAGGAAACTTGGTAAGAAGCCTGGTGATTATATTATTAAAATTAGCAGCCACTTACCTTTGTAGTTCACTGTCATTGCCCACAAGTTTTGTTGATTCTGGAAAATTATTTTGGATATTATTATTATTATTATTACCATGAAATAATGTAATAACGTGTGTTACTATGTTACACTTGTACAATATATTACTATTATTATTATTATATTGAGTACCAAAATCTGTATGTTATTCACACAGGCACACTCATACAAGTACCCAGTCAAATATTTAGGATTAGGGATGTTAATAACAAGTGACATGAAGTCATGCAGCCGTGTTGACATACAAAAATTTATTTCTCATGTGCACCAAAAAATTCGAACAGAACTGGAACAATGATTGAAGCCTCGTGGCTTTAGTTATAGACCATGGAAAATCCTTTTTCAGATCTGTGACACTTGCTTTGTATCATTTTTACAACTGTAGGAGACCCGATCCTTCAAATAAGCTCTGCAGTCATAGCTTCCTTCGTCTCTTTTTTTTCAGTTCAGGTAGTCAACAGTGGTACCCAACTGTCAGATCCAGAGTTCAGTAAGAAATATAGCAGTTAATAGTCAAAGTGCAATATGATTGTTACACGTTTCCTGTTTCAGAGCAAGGGGGCTGCAGTCCTTGGTAGATTTTGTGTTTTTTTTCCCATTTTTATTTATTTATTTATTTCTCTTTGCCATAAGATTGTAGGAGTTATAGGGTCACCCGATTCAGATGTAATGTTCACAGTAGCTTTAAAAATTATACCTTTGTATAGGAATTTACTATTTTGCAACATTTTTTTCAATTCCACAGGGTGTGCATGTATGAAAAAAGCATGCAAATTGACCACAATTACATAGGTTGAGCGATGCCGTTACTATAACATCTAATAGTCACAAAAAAGTTCTCGCCAAACGTGAGGCAGGAGGCCCCCCAGGGGGGCCCCACTGGCCACGTCGGCTGAAACGTAGTCACACTTCACAATGAACGTGGAATGAAGGTCACAATCAGACGACGGTTGTGAAAACAGCCTTAAGAATCAGAGAATGAAAATATTTTTGATCACACCTAGCAAGCACGTCGGGAATTTCCTCTCACACCGAAAGCTGTAGTTGCGTCGGTAAAACAGTCCAATAAAAGAAGATGGTAAAGAAAGACTTTTTTTTCTTCTTCTCGATTTGCATAGCAATTATAAAAAAAAATTGGAAGTAAACAAATAAAGGAAAAAAAAGTACAGAGTCAAACGTACAGGTGAGGGTGAGTAACACGTTTGGACCGGAGATTCTAATGGCTTACGGGTTGGTTCCATGCTTTGCCTTTTCCTAGAGCATGACAGGACTTTAGACAAAAATAAAAAGCTATGCTGTTATTTCTCCTTTTCGTATCTACAAACGGGACGAAGCAAACTGGGATGACGCTGCGTTCAGGATGTAGCTGTTCTTTCGGTATATACAGAGTGGACGTGTCCTCGCACTCCACACAAACCATTCTACGAAGCAGCAATTTGTCGCAAATAACATGACATTAAATAACTGTAAGAATTCACCAATTTTTACAGGTTAATATGCATATGATGATCGTTTTTTTTTTCCTCTGCATAATATTACCACATACATTTTCAGAGTTGACTAGTTATTTCGTTTTTTACTATAATACTGCTTGTACAATGCATACACATACTGTAAATAAAATATTAACACGAACTAAATCTTTGGCAAATGCAGTAAAAAGTACATTCACTTTACATTTTAGGAGCAGTATGAATGAAAAATGTTCTCTAAAAAGGTTTCCCCCAATTCCTTCTGAACTATATTTACTATTTAGGGGGAAAAAAATGTAATGAAGCTACGGATTGCTTTCATTAAATGGTCTCTGTAATAAATAATTGTAGCATTTTATGGAAAGTTGAAGGGGTTCCCCGGAGCCTTGCATGTTCCTGTTGACTTTCCCTTGTGAAATACTATTCTGTGACTGACATTAGAGTGAAGGTCAACTTTGTATTAGCTTAAAAGAAAGAATAGATGAACACAGTGTCTTTTAAAGGCTATCATGGCTGTTCCTAAAGATTGGTATGTGTCCCTTCTTGAAGTTGCATGTTTCCGGCGTGCAGAAGGACACTGAGACATCAGCATTGCTTTCTCTCCTTGTCGCTCACAGACACACGAACAGACACATGCGCGCACGCACATTTGGCGTTTAGCGCGAACCAAAACACACATGGGAAACTGAACACTGATACATCTCGGTACGTTACAAGTTAGGTATAAAAACTGAAGGTCGTTTGAATCATCGGGAACTTGGAGAAACAGCACTTTGGACAGATGCTTCGATGCACGTACACTGCGTATTCATGGACTGGTGCATTTAAAATACTCCTAAATTTAAACACAGAGTGGTATTTGTTGGTATGCCTGTAATGGGAAATGTAACCTGAACATGAACTTCCATTTTGTCGCTTTTTAAGTGCTAGCTCAACCCAATTGCTGTAAGTAACCTTTACACTTGTTTATTTTCCTTGACAATTTTCCATGCTGTCCCACTGCAGGAAAAGGTAGCAGTCTTAATTGAATTCTGCATGATACAATCCTACAGTGTCAGACCCTCAGATAATAGTGCAAAATCAAGGACAAATTGAATATTGTAAGGACTTGTATCATTTGCTGTGTCCCAGAAATACAAAAACGACTGAAGAAAAGAACAAAAACAACAAAAAAAAAAAAAAAACCAAACAATTCTAAATGTTCCTAAAGACCTTCGTAATAACAGCAACAGTAATACCAAAAATTAATTTAACCAAAAAATTAAGTATATATTTTGCTAATTTTAAATTCGGGTGTGTGGAAGACCACAATGCTCTGTGACTTCCTTTCGTTTTCACACATATGTTCTTTTTACATCTGATTGTGTATCACAGGAAAAGAAAGAATGTCCACTTATCGTTTTCTGTGGCATTTGTCAAGAACGGATATGTTCACACATGCTGTTCTGCAGATCAGGAACCAATATGGATAGAGTCAGCGGAGGAGAGTAAAGCACCAAACTGCAGCCCACTCTGATGCTATTGTCTTCAGCACACAACGCTCTCGGTAAACCAGTAAACCATGGAACTGCTACGAAACCAGGAGGACCTGATGCTGAGTGAGCCGTAATCGTGTTTGAGACCGGATTCTTCGGGAAGGCGAGATCAATCAAAGTGAAGGAACGTGTTGATCCATGACGAGAAAATCAAACTAATAAAATAGGAGAAAAAGCCACGTCACTTTTTTTTTTTTTAACTTCGCTTTCTTCACACCAAGTTTTTCTTCATTTTTTATAATATATATATTTAGAATCTCTCAAAGTCTTTCTGGAATTGTACAGTCTTGCTGATGGGAGACCAGGACTTGAAGTCAGAGGGGTCAGATTTGTGTGGAGTCGTCGGGTGTCCCTATTAGTCCGTCCTCCTTTCTCTGAGCAAGAGATGGGATGTTTTGAAGCCACTTTCCGTTTCTTTGACCTTAACGCTGTTCACACCGGTACAATATGGAGGACAAAAGCATCGTCCTGTAGTTTGATTTGGTTTCCATTGTAACTAGTGGCGGTCATAGGCAGTGGCAGCAGTGGGTGGAGCTGAGCCTCTTGATGCGGCACTATAATAATAAGGGGAACCTAAAAGTTAACAGAAGAACAAGCCAGTTGAAAAGACACAGTACGCAAAAACAAATATGCCCAGTTAATGAAAATCCACATCCCTGATGGAACAGCCCTTCAGGTCGTTACTCAGATCACTCAAAAAAGAGTGAATGGAACAATTAAACATTGGGGCAGTTATCAATTGTAATTATTTCATCGTATTAATTTTATAATCATAATTCAATTAGAATGTGGAAGGTACTAAATCCCACAGATAATTCCCCGATTGGGAATTTTCACAATTAACTATTAAGCTTCTCATGTTAATCATAGTACAAGCTTCCCAAAAACTGATTCTGTGCAGATGAGCTATTCGCAAATGCTGCCGCTGCATGTCCGTATACCTCTCTACAGTACAACGGATTCTCAGCATATTTCCAAAACATAAAACACTATACTATGTTGCAGAAATACCGGCATATAAATGTGTAATGCACTTCCATGGTATGCAGCCAGCTGGTATTCTGTGACGATACTTTTTTCAGTTCCGTTACGATTATTTTCATTGTATGACATGCTAACGGTTTTTATGTAATGAAGTGCATTCGTCTGCCATATCAGGATCCACGGGAAAGCTAAAGAAACCCAGTGTAGGACCAGTGAGCACATGAGGAATGATACTCACTCAATAAAGCTGGGTTGCTAAACCGCCAAGCTTCATTGTACGTTGTGTACTGTGGATGACTGTAGGGGTTCCCTGAAAACTCGCTCCCTGTGGAAAGAAAGAGAGCCATTTAGTTTTAGTGCTGCGAATTGGTCAAAGCATTTCGGATACGAGGAAAATATGACACCATCATTCAGAATTACATAATCTGACGCTGACTTCCTGACTGTTTTGTACAAGTCACAACGCCGCCAAGCCTACTGATCGCGCCATTTTGAAATTACGTAAGATGGGCTCTGTTGATGTTCCTAACAGATACCCTCGGAAACGATTGCTGCTTTTTCTTGCATATGCGGGCCGGTTGTCATTAGCTACTTCTCACTGTAAACATCAGCCAAAGATCTGTGCTTCATCGCTTTACCCACTGAGACTCGCCCTCCCCCTTCTGCTGCATGTGCAGTTTAGTACCTTTCGCCTGCTGCTTTGATTTCGTTTTTTGTGGTTTTTATATATATATAAAAGAATGCTGATAGGCTAGATCTCGGAATCCCCCTCTTATCTCCTTTACTGTCCCCATCTCATTCTCCTTCCATTATACAAGCCGTTCATTTTGTGAGTGCCTCTATACTGAGGTGAGCTCTCGTTCATGTTCATTTAAAGAACCGCAAATGCATTTTAATGCCTAGAAAATGAGTCAGATTGGCTATTTAATAATTTTAATAATTTTTATTGCTAGCTATACGTGTTTGCGTATTGGCCGTAAGCAGATCTGCGAGAAATTAACTGCATTGCTACACCTTGTTGTAATTCATACTTCATCAGCCTGGCTGATTTTATCACTTTGGTTATCTTTTTAGCAAGATTTCTGCTTGTTTTGGATCATAGTTTAAAGCTTTTTTCTGCTTCATCTATCCTTGGGCTGAAGCAGCCAGATAAACCCCTGGGGGGTCCCTCTTAGAAAAAAAAACGGATGCTTGTATGGATTTTTTTCTTCTCAAATTCTTCTTTTTTTGTATGTGCAGAATTCCAGTTTGCAGGAAGTAACTCAGACTATGTCAGTGAGCAATGCAGTTGGTCCAGCATGTTTTTTTTTTTATGAGACAATAAAGGCAAGATTTTATATGAAGCCAGTGAAGAATGGCTTAAGGTTTAACAGTGTTTGGGGCCTGTCACTAAATCTTAGTCGGTCTGGGCCAGATGAATGGGAGAGCCCACAAAACCTATAGCCTTAGGATTAAGAGGGTTTTCCAGGTAACGCGTTACTGTGTGTGACTGATGAAAACGAATGTGCGATAAAAACATATTTGATGTACTTGAAAAGGTATGTTTTCCAGCTGAATTCACTCTGTCACCAAATTGCATTTCTAAATAAAATGTAATGTTTACGACAGAGTGAGGATGGCCAAAAGGTCGTAGCTATTAGATTCCTCTCGCCTTACAGTGGATTTAAACTGTTTAACTTATCGTCTCACGCAATTTAATCTTAAAATCATGCATGACTTCTAATACATTTTTGGCAGGAATTTATAGCGCAAAGCTGATTCGTCTATCAAAGATTTTCTTCGTTTATTTGTCTGATCAACTGCTGGTATCCCTTCATCCTGGTGACGTAAATGCGACCGTCCGGTTTGTCAGGATGTCAGCGCCCCGGGGCGGTTTTCTTCACGTTAGTTGACGGAGGGAAGGAGAGGGAGGGAGGGAGGGAAGGAGGGGGGGCCTGGTGCCGTTTCGGGTTGGGGAACGGGCCCAAGCAGTGGGCCGGGACGTGATCCGTACGGCTGGCACTGAAATCCTAGCCGGGTCCCTAAGAGAGACAGTGATTTAAATATTTACAGGCCTCCCATGCCTCTGTTTTGTGACCCTTAACTGTTTGCCGTGAACCTGAACTGCGGGTTAAGTGGAGGAGAAAGAGATACGTGCCGGGGGCCGGAGGGACGGCCGCGGACAGTGTTTATCGACGACTTGTGAAAGTGCACACACAGGGGGATAATGAGCTGTGGAACCCGAGTGACGCCGAGAGGATCTGTCCTATCTCCGAGCCTCTGATCGGATATCGAGCACATGTAATTTCCTTATATACACCGGGCCGCGTGTGCAGAGCCCCCCCGCCCCCTCCCTCCCCCTGTGCTTCCCCACAGGTCAATGCCGCTCATCCCAGCACGTCCACTCAGTCCACTAATCACTGTCCTGGTTGGCTACGGCGTGGCCTATCAAGCGCGACATCATTAGCGTGATCGTCGTCGCGCCTCCAACCAGCGTGGAGCCTTAGATGTTTTGGTAATTACCTATTTTCAGCTGAATCGCTAAATGGCCGAGCTTCGCGCTCTTTGCTTTGCTGAAGTGCCTTTGAGGAAATGGACAAATCTGCCGTCGACGATTTGCTGGAGTATAGCCGATGTACGTTCTCCGAAATGTATGTTCATCCAGATGCTTTCTAAATGTCTACCATGCTACATCCATGTCGGATATATAAAATTCATTCTATTGTGAAACATATAATTAGGTCATTTCCACCTTTGCTACATTGTTTATTGTAATATGTATGTTAAAATATTGTTTGAAAAGAATGCATTAATTAAATCATGCATATCAGCTTCGAATGACTGGATAATATCCTCTCTGAAAATGTAACAGCTGGAATTAAATGGTGAAATATAGTAATTTAATAATAAATGAAACGTTACGTACCAGGAACCATTCCAGCAAGTGTTGAGGTGGGATAGCTGCCCTGTCCTGTAGGGGGCACATGAGGGGGGTACCCAGGTAGGGTTGTATTTGCCATGTCTCGACCTGGAGAGAAGACAGAAAGAAGGATGCTGGTGTTTAGGAGTCGCTCAGTGCAAATGAAACACGCATCCCAAAGCTGTGGAGAGAAACAGCAGCTAGAGGAAACCGGAAGATGATGGCGTGAACCCGCGAAGCACATTCCCCAAGCAAAGATGGCGTCGGAATCCAATCACTGCTACCATTCAGACAATGTCACGGAATCCTCCTGGGCAGGCAGTGCGAACAGCCGATCGCGCTTCGCAAGTGCATAAATGGATGGAGACGTGACACTAGCGTTCGGCATTGTTATACAAAAGAATATGCGCATGCAACATAAAATAGAAATGATCACGACAGACACATATAACTCAACACATATATACCCCCCCCCAAATGAAAAAAAAAAACACTTAGTTATGACAGCTGACAAATGGTGGCAATTTTCGTAATTTTAGTTTTAGGCCTGATTCTGTCCTCCGGCAAGGTGACTCTGCTTTAATTATAAATTAAACTATCAATTAAAAGTACTGTTGAAATAAAGGTGGTGAGGTACAAACAAACAATGCCAGCGAGAGCTGCTTAGTCAGTAGTTCATATGGCCTTCCCAAGTCCCAATTAATCTGACTCCAAAATGCTACCCCCCAATTTGGGCCTGTCTTAAGAGTTCAAGTAAACCCCGAATAGCATTGCAAGCTAAGCCCCATGGTCACTTATTCAGCTGCCGTAATTGGTACCGAGGGCTAACTGTCCTACTCGGGGGGGCTTGGCTTTCCGTATGCAGCCCCCCCCAGTCAGCCAAACCCAGGGATTCAGAAGCCCCTGCAGTGTTGTTAGCATCGGGTGGGTGGGGGGGGGGGGACGACGCTGCGGGCCATTCGGAAATGCATCAATGAAGTGGACATTAACAAGGGGGCCTGAATGCAGAGTCTTGACGGATGCAGATGCACCATGCGTCCGTGTGAACTTCAGACAGACGTGCAGAGTGATGCCGCACATCGATCGTCCGTATATCGCTGAAATAGTCAGGAGCATTTTTACCTAAAACTAGCAAGAACGCAATCATTCGGAATAATACCTCGAGGACACAAGCCTTGAGTCAACACACTAAGGCTAAGGTGCAGTGTGCTACGGGAAACTGCGTGCGTTGGGGAATTTCTCAACTAACTCTCACCTTGCTTCTATCTATAGGGAACGGGGTACCTGAACACGGTAGCCAGGCCCTGAAAAGCACTTCCGGGCTTCAGTAAGGGTGTACCTGCGAGGATAGGCTGGCTTGCATACTGCCCGTAGCTGGGGCCGTTGCGGGCATAGGCAGTGTAGCAAGGGGTGGAGGCGTCTACTGACACAGTGGGCTGGAATGGCTGGTGGTGCGCTAGGCCGGAGCCCGCCAGGGACGAGGGAGTGAAAGGGGCCAGAGACGCCTCGAGGGGCTCCTGCTTTACACAGACCGAGGATGAGTGGGATTCTGCCGGATGGAGCACAAACAAACACACATACAGTGATGACACACACATACGCACACACATGAAGGAAAAGGGGGGGGAGAAAAGGAGGAGTGAATGATGAAAATGGCCGGCAATGACGTGCTACGCCGCAGCAAGGATCTACCATGCTGCGTATTACGGGAATGTCATGAAACAGGAGATGGATCCTTGTTTTTTGCTTAATATGTGTATGTGGCGTATACAGAAAGGGAAAAGATCCATTGGTAGAGGAGATGCGACCATGTGATCGCCTTTTGTCACAGTGATTCGTTGATCCAGAGGCTGCTTGCTAAGCATTAGCAGAGGTAGGACCAGTTGGAACAGGTGACATCGCATGCGCGGAAAGGCGGATTTGCTGACGGAGGTGGAGCGGGGGTACGGGGCTAATTCGTACTCCATGGGGGGCGGGGGGGCTAAGCCTCGCACAATGCCCACCGAGCCCTTAGTTTAAAGGCTGTGTGGACACCTGCCATGTTTTGGGCTGGAGCACCATGCTGGAATCCAAGCCCACCGCTGTCCTGGGGCATTCCATTACCCTACCAAAACAGGGGTTTCTGGGGAAAGAGTAATCTTTACTTAAGGGGCACTAGATAAAGTATTCTGGCGCAACGATTTGCCAGCCTAAGTCCCTGGGCTTCCTATTTAGCCCAGAATCTGGAGGTAGCATTTCGGGGGGGGGGGGGTACCCTTTCTCTCTGGAAGTAAATTACTTAAATTGCATTTATTAGGCCTGCCAGCACAATTTACTTTGCTGGCTTTTCAATTCAATACGCGCAAACTACCAATTTCAAGTCTAACTGATAGAATGCAATAATTGGAACATTGCTGACATTAGCAATGCATTTTAAGCACTGAATAATTAGTTAAGAAGTAGTTTTTTTAATATATGTTAAAATATACAGTAAATGGATAAAATGGGTATTTTGGGTAGTTGAAACGATTGCGCCCTCTGTGGTAGTTTAGGGGGCTATCACAGTGGAAGGCATTAAAACAAATATCATGCTTATTTCGCAAACGATTCCGTGCGAGAGGCTAAATAAGCTAGTCCTGCCACAGCAGCATTTCAAAACTAATGCGTTGAGGTAAACAATCTACTGAAAAGCAAATTCCGGAATAATTTTGCTGATGGGCCTCGGCCTCTTTCGACAGCCCCCAACCCCCCACCTCCCCCCACCAAACTCTGCTACGTTTTCCTGAGCAACTCAAGCGATCAATGTGAGCACTGTTACTGGTGCTACATGTCCTCTTTAAATCCTCTTCTGTTTGTGAGGCCTGTTGGGAGAGCTCTCAGTACGCCATGATAGCCTCATTAGCTGATTCCTAGCCATTGTTGTTTTACAACAGAATTGTGTGTAGAGATTCCTCATTAAGATAAGGGTTTCTTTATACTGTGCCCTTCTGTGACAGCCCTCTTAGACATAACGCCTGAAAATCAAGCCACTTTACTGGCCCCTTTCCCACACAAATCAATTCAAAGGCCTCTTTTTCCATAGTTATCACAGGGCAGACTTTTCGGCACAAACCAACGCGGTTTACAAAACTATAAATAGAAATGGCAACACATCCAAGCAAACCCCAACTGACAGTCTCTCTTCGTAGCATTCTGAAAAATTTGTACCAGAGTATAATTAAGGATCTGAAGGCCATTTATGGTTGATCTTGCATTAGCTGAAAAATATGCTACTGTTGTACAAGCAACAATGTACGCAAAACAAAAAAAAAAGAATAAAAACAATGTTATGGAATATAGCAAGACAGATAACAGGAATGGAAGAGGTCTTCCGAGAAACGGGGAATGTCGTTCCCACGGCACCCTGCTCAGAGACTTCCAGACAGGCGTGATCACCGACCACGCTGATTCGCTGGTACGTTCGAGATGGCTGAACTTTAAAACCACTGAAAACGGTGGCCGCTTATTGTCCTGGAGACGAGTTAACGCTTGACACAGAACTGTCACCTCCCCCCTCCCCGATTACAACGACAGAAGATAAACACGCGCCCGGGAGGTCTCGGGGTAGCTGCAGAAGCTCGTTTCCCTGTTCCTATTTCAGCGTCGCTCGTCACAGCGAGGACCGAATCAGAAGTGACCTTCATCCTGCTTGCCAGCATGACAAAGTCCCCAGCAAGTGACTCTTTCAGTGGTTAGAGCATTAAATTTGCCATGATGGGGACACCTTCATGTTCATGACAACAACAACAAAAAATCTTTGACCTCCAATTTCTATATTCGGGATGCAGCAATTCATCACGAGCCAAAAACCCCCACACGCTAATTAATTACAACTAAGTAAAGAATGTTTGGAGAGCCAAATTGCTTTAATTCCCCAAACACAGAGTGAAAGTCATTCATTATCAAATGTGTGCTCAAAGGTTAGTGTGCTTTTGAGAAGACGAAATAAACATTAATTTCTGCACTGGGCTGGGTCTCCCCCGGTGAGCGGGCAGACAAGCAGTTTGTCAAGAGGGCACACGTCAGGAACCTGGGGTTAGGGGACTGATTGTTGCTTGGTGCTCACTGGAGAATAGCACGCCCTTCTTCAAAAATAGCTCGGACCGGGATATATTTCAGCCCCGGCGGACGCTGAGCGGGCTTATTATTATTATTTTTATTTTTTCCTTCTCCCACTAACGCCCAAGCCGCCTCCTCTGCGTCGGTAAAGGCTGAGGTGCGGAAGCTGGCGTCCCTGCTGGTGCCTTCATTTCCTCCCGAGGACATTCGGAAGCAGGCAGGAGGCCGCCAACACCTGCTCAAGTTTTTTTTTTTTTTCAGCGTGACGAAGGGGTGCCCATTGACACCATACCATCCCACTGGCACCAGGAAGGCCAGCTTTAATAGCCCCGGTGGGGGTGGGGGTTGTGTTGAGGGGGCAGACGTGTTTCGAGAATTTGTACCGTTGATTCATTCTATAGGTATGTACCCCAAAAAAATGTCTCCATGGCCCTAAAGGCTGCATCTTTGTCTGAAGCTGCCCCATCGCACTTGGCCCAACTGAAGGCTAGAGTCGTGCCTTCTGACCATGCGGTGAAGCTTATGCTCAGGGCTGGAGATCTGAGGAGCGCCGGGAGCCTCCTCCAGGAAATCGTGGCCCCCATTCTGTCGTGATCCGAGTCAGACCGCGATCGGAAAGCAGAGCGTGACGAAATGCGCCGGCAACGGCGACCGGAGATCCTCGTCCCCTGTGGGATCATTACAACTGTGCCCTGTTCCAGACAGCAACACTGCTTAATGCGGATGCTCCCAGTGAACGCCTCGCAGGATAAATTAACGACGACTTTGCAATGCGCTAATGTATTTACGGGAGGATCAGGCAAAGCCGCCCTTATTAAACGTTCGCCGATAACAATCGTCCCATACGAAACGCAGAGCACGATATACAACAATTCGGTAATTTGGCTATTTTAAACGATGCAAATGTCACTAAAGCAGGAAGGAAAGACGCAAACATTTAACGTTAAATGGTGGCTAGCCTCTGAATTAGACGATGGAAATTCTACGTTAAATCCCTTTATTTGCGTGGCTAGTCTTTCTTTTAGCTATAATAGGAATGAATGGAGGATACAAAAATATTTCTATCGCTCGCCTTATAATTCCAATCTCCACCGGCAATGAAGAGTTCATGAATCATTCATCTTTAATAGATTATGCAAATGTTGAGACATAAAATCAACAAGATCAATAACTGCAGGCATTTTAATTGGTGCTAGAAAACATTTTAAGGATGAACATAATCTCCAGTTCTTCCTCCTGTAAAGGCACTATTAATTTGAAATTGAATCCCAGCCTAAATGAAGAAGATAATTTAACATCCTTTTTCCTAGTTTCAGATCCTATCGCCTGGGTTTATCACACGCTAGTAAACTGTAATATCCTGCCATTAAGCAACCCCCAATGCTACACCTGATTAAAATACACTGCATATTAAGTTATTAGTGTCAACAGTCACCAAGGGAAAATCAAGTCTAAGTTTGATAATGTCAGTTACTAGGCAATTACAGAAAAAAAATATATAAATTATCTAGATTATTTTGGAACGCAGTCAATAAATTTAAATCTATAAAACAACACAATTTAGCAGTGAAGGAATTTATCCTGTTATGTCTTTTTAAGCATTTAAATGCTTTTAATATTTTTTTTGACTGATTCTTGAATGATTTGTTTCTTGATTTTTTTTTGTCATAGGAAGTGGGTGAAGGGGTGGTTTGGGAAATTCAGTAAAAGCAATGCTTCCCTGTTAAGCTTATCTCCAAGGCAGTTATGTGTCCTTTTTACCTTATGAACCGACAGGTAACCCCCCCTTGGGAGCGGGCGGGGGAGGGGGGGGGTGGCTGTAAAGGGAAATACTTCCTCTAAAACATCCCAGGTGCAAACAAAACCACCTGCTCAGGAGGGACTCCCCGCACTGGGGGGCTGCTTTCATGCTACGGCCAGAGCACAAAGGACAAAAACACACCTTTCTTCTGGTGAGGCCCGACTTACTGGGATACTCTACCTCCCACATATTAATGAGAAAAAAAAGGGCTTTCTTTTCGAATAACACTGCTCGCTATCATTCGAGAAGGGGGCCCACAATTTTCAATCATCCTGTCTCTCCCCCCCCCCCCCCCCACATGCGAAACCCATTGCCTTTGATGGCTCCCGCATCATTATGTGAATTTTAATAAAAGCTCAGCGTATTAATCTCCGACCCGACAGTCGGCCATCAGTAAACTTAACCTTCTCCTCGGTAATAACGTCGGCAACAATGCAACAATATTTCAATTAGCGTGGCAGTCATTAGCCATGACGGAGCAGAGGAGGGAAAGAGAGGACGGTGGTGTTTCAAGCAGACAGGCAGAAACGCGATTGGATACTTAACAAAGGACACCCCCGGCGCGCTTTATGTCTTTTTAGAACGAATTACACACTGTTTACAAACGCGTGCGTGCGAAATCACGCTCCACTCTCTCCTGTAGACAGACCGCAGGATCCGGCAGCGGTAGGAATCAGTCAATCACGCTAACTCGCGAGACCCTGCCACTCATCTCTGCGTTTGTGGATCGGAAGGCCTGCCATTAAGACTCCCGTCATGAACGAGAGATGACAGAATCCTCTCCGATTGCGCGCTTCCCGAGTACGGAGGGGCCTCGCTTATGCCGTGTGGTGCGTTTCAAAGCTATGAGACTCTCTTGACTTGTTTACTAATTCTTCCTTTGGGGATTTATAAAAAACTGTTCACAATAGCTTTTATTTTTCAATATTTTTAATGTCATGTAATTGAACAATGCTGATACATAATTAAAGAATAACAGCCCCCCCCCCCCTTCCCGACCACCAATCCACCCCACCCTGGGTGGACCTCTAGCTTGGATGCTGATTTACATACAGTATGTTCACTTGATCTTACCTACAGGGTAGGATTGTGATACGTTGGGCCCCAGTTCCGGGTTGGTGCTGGCTGACAAACTAGGCTTCACTTCGTCCAGTCCGGAGTTCAGTGCCGGTAGCGAGTATTCATTAGCCTGTAAGCGGGAGGGGGAACGTTAAACACTCGAAAAAGCGCGCCTTGTAACCTTTTGCTAATTCCTTTGCTTGGCGTCAATGCTGGCATTATTCTGAAGCATATTTCTGTTCCCGGCTCTAAAGGCACATATTGCAGAGCCTGTCTCCCTATTGTCCGAGTGGGAGGGACCAGGGAGCGGAGTAGGGCTTTAGAATCGAGAGGAGAGACCAGCCGTCAGCTGGCTCATTGTGCTTCACTGGAGTCGCTCTCCTGACCAGCCAAGGGAGGAAGCATTCCTGCTTTGTTACAAACACACCATGTGGCCCAGCTCGCAGGGCAAAACGCACCTGCCTTTTAAAAGATTAGAAAAACAAAGATAAACACAACAAATAAATGTAATCTCTACTAATCTCGTATACCGCGGCACTTATCAAAAACTACCGAAACAGCATACGTGTATTTACACTTTATTTTATAACAATAAAGAATTCTGTGTTTGTTTGTGATGTTGGATTTGAAATACGTGACGTTAAATCTTTAAAAGAATCTCTTTCATTCACTCTCTGGGTACGTCTGGATTTTGTTTTTCTGTTTGCATTTGTGGTCAGTTGGTTCGAAGAGCAGCCATGACGGAGATGGCAGATGTAGGCTAGCTTTTTTTCCCCGTTTTAATGAGATGAGACTTCCGGAGCCTTTTGTGATGACAGTGACGGTCCCTGTGCCCTGTGCTTGCCCGAGCGCCTCGCTGGGCCGCAGCCCCAAGGGGGAAACCCATGACCCCAGTCTTGTCTGCTTCTATCGCAGATAAACTCTAATTGTCTCCTACAACTGTTTCGCCGGCGTGATTTCGGATGTCGTCCCACATCCTGGCCGTCTTCAGACGCAAAGCACCCATTTTTTTCTCATGCAGATAGAGAATGGGGCGGGGGGGCGGGGGGGGGGGGGGGGCAACAACCGAAAGAAGCGATGTGAAAAGAATGACCAAATGGCTAGCAGAAGTGTGGGAGGAGTGAACCTATTGAGTTTTGCATCTCCAGAATGGGTTTTTAATGCCCTTCTGTGGCACCCAGACACTGGCTAATAGGTCCACCTTTTCAAGAGTTTCAAAAAAAGGCTGGGGGGGGGGACACAACAGAATCCACAAAAGGGAAAGTGCTCTGATTAATATTGCATTAAATTAAAGCTGATTTTTCTGGACTGTTCCGGGCCTCCCCCAAGCCTAGCCTTTCCCTGGCTTTTTTTTAATACTCTCACTGCTGCTCTTTGTGATTGCAAGTCATTTCCAATTCGTTTTGGTATTGATCTTCCAGTAGAAATCAGTTTTGTAATTAGCTGCAAATTAGGCCTTCTTCTAGAGGTGAGGCCTGTCCCCCTGATTTATCACCAGCGTAATTCGTGGCGATCGGAGAGAAATTAAAATGAACTCAATTAGGCGACTGCTTTTGTTTTATGGGTCCAACTTGGAGTTTCCAGGGAAAAATTAATAGTCTCTTGTTGTTTAATAGTCTAATGAAAGTAAATAAAGGTTATGCATTGTAATAAGCTCAGGGCTTTTAATAAAGGGTCTTGCAGTTTCTTATTGTTACTGGTGATTGTGTCACTTTTCGGTTGCTGTCTTTTTTTGCCAATTATGATGGATGGGTAGCATTTTCTTTTTTTCCTGTGCTAACATCAAAAGAATCAAAGGGCAGATGTTTAAAGTTAATTGTAAAAGTCTATAATTCTGTTGCTGAAATGTCCATTTGAGATGCTGAGGTTGAATTGATGCTACTATGCTTAAAAAAAATGCAGCGTTTATTGCGCGTCCACTGAGCGAATTAACCGTGCAAACCTAAAATAAGTGCAAAACCACCACCGGACTGACTGACACAAACCTTTTTTGGTGGGGACTAAGATAGTGATTAATTACATACATTGTTTTGTTATTGTCAATTACAGTGGTGTGAGGAATGTTTTTTCTTTCATTAAAGAAAAATCTATAATGTGTGGGAGTTTCCTTGGAGCTCACAGGTTTCCCCGGTTTGGTCCATAATACTGTCGGATTTGTGTTTAACTGCTCTCAGTGTGTCCATGATTCCTTATCGTTGATTATGTTAAACTGAGCAGCGATTGGATATTTAAAAAACGGCGGCCTTCAAGATTCAAAGTAACAACACTTATACACAAGCCATAATCATGTAAGAGTCTAAGAATTACATATTATAAATAAAATATATAGAAGACACACATATATAGCAGGAAAATAGCTGCATGTGTGTGACAGTGTCCCTTAAGGACAAATTAAGGTTTAATATGATTTTATCTCATGGTTAACTGAACCTGGTCACTGGCGATCACAAGTAACCTTTATCATGAAGGTACTAACCTGCTCGGGTTTGATGTGCTCAGATGTCGGAAAGACGTCTGGGTATGACGGCCGCTCAAAGACCCGGTCCAGAGCTTCGAGCTGCTGCTGAGTGAAAGCATCTGCTCTCAGGTGCTTCCGTAAACTGTCCACACTACCCTGAGAATCACTGTTTGGGCCAGAACCATCTGAACCATCTACAAGGAGAAAGAGGGACATTCGAAAAATTTGGCCCTTAGGGAATCTTATCGCACAGTCACTCCGCCGCGCACTTTCCTCCCTCGTGACAGCGCCCCCTGCTGGGAGAAGGTTGGACAAGGAGGTGGGGGAGGTAAATTCAGTGGCGGGCAACACCTTAAGCAGATCCAGAAGGTTGTGCTGAGCCACTGGGAGCGGTGGGGAAGTCCAGCCCCCCCCGGCACACTCCCCCCCCCACCTCCACCACACGCACAGTATTAGCACTGTCATGATTTGATAGGTCGGCGGTAATTGATGGATTACTATCAGAGCAAATATATTCTTGTTGGGGAGACCATGTATTTTAATGAAAGCAGAAACGATTACGGAGGCCTCTCCTTCTAGTCTGAGTAGGCATTTTTGCCTGTCTGGAAATCAGGAGCAGTAATTTAAAAGGTACAATTTTCTTTACAATTCGATATCGCTTTCATTTTTTCTATTGCATTTCATTCAGACAGGCCTGCCGACACGCCCCGGATAAAAGGGTACCAGTCCGGGTCAGTCATTTCCCGGGAACGCGTTCCCGAAATGTAAGCATCTCCCCCAACTTCCGACACGATTACCCCACTGCACACTGGAGGATGACACCTCTTTTCTTTTGTCACCGTCATAAGGCCCTTAAAACCTCTTACACACCCTGCACCACCCCCTGCGCTCCCCCCCACCTGCCACACAGCACCCCTATCTCTCCCCATCCTGTGTGTATTCAGAAGGGTTCCCGCTCCCTTACAAATCTGTCATTCTAAATTTGCTGCAGATTATGTTCTCTCGTCGGTGAGAGAGCAGTGATATATGATATGCAAGGCCCCTATTGATTGCCTGATCTGGTGGCAGGAGGGAGCCGAAATGAACTTGAAACGAACATCTTGCCTCAGCTCATTGTGCGTATAATACTCTACTTAATCCCACATTCTTCTCTGCCATGGAATTCAATTGATCAATCATGTTTCACTGATAGTACCATTTCAGCCTGTTATTGCCATCCCATTCTGCTTCTTGACCTTTTTTCAACGGCTAAGGCCAGAGGATGAACCTGACTTTCATGAAGAGCAAAATATTTTCAGGGCTGTGGGGGAGACAGGCTTTCAGTGCCTGTGTTTGTGTGTTTATGTGTGTGTGTGGATCCTTTCTGCGTAGCGATTTTGTCAAACGGCCACATGTTCCCTGTATAAATGTGCTGCTAATTTTACGATGAACTCTGTTAAATTTAAAACGCCTTTACTGCATTGTTGGTGTTTAATTACCTTAGATGCACAAAGAACTCTACAATGGCAGAGAAGGAAAAATTAATTAAACCTTACAGCTACTGGCTGCCTTGCATTTTACTTGAAATAATCCTGTTAACTGCAGTTATTAGGATTTATATATTATGAATTACCTATAAATATTTATACATTATACATTTATAGACTAATACAAAAGCTAATTTATAGTCACTTGTCAAAATCTAATACTGTATATCTAAAAGATGGATTTTTTCTATAGATAAGTGCTCTATATGATATATCGGTACAGTAACTGCAATCACAGGGGCCCACTAAACAGTGATATTCTGTTGTTTTATTATTTTCTCCTGTTTTGGATTATTGTGTATGGTTTTCTCAACATTATGTCTGGCCCACATATCTTTGAGCAGGCATCTCTCTCGGACAGCTCCCGTGGGGGCCTTCCGTACCACTGCCAGTTGTTGCGGTATCAGACTCAATTGTTCTCTTTGGTATTGAAGCAAATAGAGTCATTAATTACTTTCTATCAGCTGGCCAGAGTACAAAACACGATCAATAACCCAGCAATTGTAATTCACTATAGTGGAGTATGCTTCCCTCATGCAAACTAACCAATATGAGCAGCATCATCCCACACAGGCAAACTCATACTTCAGCTACTTTGTCAGAGATATTTAGCTAATTTCCTTATCTTTCTCTCATTCTTACACTACATGATATCTGTCCTTACAGTGGCTATTCTTTCCAGATCATGCACAAAAACTTGAATATCAGCTTAGAAAAAAAAAATCCATATATTTAAGATGAAATTTGCGTATATAATTATATTTTTCACAGGGATTTCTTTGCATGGCTGCAAGCATCGCACATTATTTGCAAGACAATTTAATAACATTGGTATAAAGTTTGTTATGAAATTACAAAAAGAAATTAGAATTTTGACAGCTTGATCTGTAAAGTCATTACCTAGAATTTTCTATAAATAAAGATTTAATAATATTATGCAACAGTAATGTGACAATAACAAAGAATCAGCACTGACAAATGCTGTCGCGTATCTTTCAGATTACCTAAAATATTATATTAATTAAGAACAATCAGAGAAATTTGCGCATCTGTTTTGAGAAACCCCCTTCCTTTGATGCTCTGTGGCCATTTTATTGATCATTGACACACTTGAGTGTATTCATTTTGACATCTCTCCATATTAACACCCCAGTAACGAGGGACCAGACTCTATCAGATCAGATAACCAGCTCTATAAAACAGGCTCCTCTCTGTGGGTTTGACACCCAGAGGTCGCGACCCCCTGGCAGGAGGTGGGACGACACAATTCTACATTGGAGAGGGTCTGCTGACTACCCACTAGACTTATCCGAATATATGGCGTATAAGCGAAGGTCACGCGGATCTGCTGGGATTGCTTGAGATCAAATATTCAAATATGAAGTTCGGACTTAAACAAGGCAGAGGGAAAACGTTAAATCGCAGGCTGATGGTGTCTGGTTTCTTCTACCTTTTCAGGGTTTGCACCACTACACAGGAAGCCGCTAGCTACTATCTCTTCCTCATCTTATCTCAGGATACGAGGGTCTTTGAAAACCAAATTAAGTATTTTTTTCCCTTCCCCCATTGCCTCTCTGCTGGTTTTGCCAACGTATGTGAAACTTCCCAAATCAGGTGCAACATCTTGCTCACAGTGAGTTTTCACCCAGTTTTATGAGCGGCAGGAACAAAGGCTAAATGACCTTAGCGGCAGCTAAGCCTAAAACACCGAAATTCACTACGTTAAGAAGGGACGGTCAGCTATATACTTCGCTTTTTCGTTTTAATCTCTTCTAGTGCAAAAATAGTTTTTTTCTGGAAATTGTGCATCCTTCCCCCAAGTCGAAAGAAAAAAAAACAGGTTCCCATTTCATGATCAGCTTATAAATTTTTTTTTATAAATGCTTAATGGCCATCACTTTATTTCAATACTGAAATGTGAATACATTACTTGAGTACTAGTCTGTAATGTGTTGACTACTGGACCGTTTGTAATGTGTTGGCTAAGTACTGATAAAGGCTTAGATTTCAGGTCAATAATAAAAATAAGCTGGGATTTTCGAAAACACTGAGAACTTACCACCAGCCAGCAAAAAAACTACAACAACTTTAACACCAGCCCTCCCTCTAGACCCCGCAAGACATTGAAATTAATGACGGAAACTGCTAGGTCACCCCACACCGGGCTGTCCACCAGGGACAAACATCATCGTCACGTTTCCTTTGGAGATGAACTTACAACCTTCTTGAAATTTTTAACCGTCGTCATACAACGGTTTACGTGGCAACGAAAGCTGCCCAGGCTCCCCGATGTATCTGTTCTTTAAAGTGCATGATGAGTTTTACTAAATCCATGCTTGCGCTTTATATCATTTTTGTCCCGTTTTTGCCTAAATGAATTTGCACATTATTTATTTCCTACGGCGAACTGTCAACACGAAAAAGCACAACTGTACTGATTCAAACTCAAAGAAAATAAATAAATAAATAAACAAACACAAAATAAAGGTTGGGTACACGTGGGGAATTTATGTTACATCTATTGCGCTGCTGAAAAAAAAAATACATGCTGCAATACTCTGAGCTACAATATTCTATTTATATAACATTCTAGCTGGGATACTTCTAAGTGAGTGATGTCATTGAGCACTGACCTTCTAAGAGCTCACTACATTATTATTAAACTGTCTGGTTCACTTAATAACATCCGAAGCTAGCCGCCTTGCAACCTGATTGATCCAGGTCTCAGCTTTGGTGGCTCCATACGCTATTGCGCTCTTTTGCTTGTTCCCATATCACTGTACAGTACACACAGTACTTCCAACCCACATTAGTAAACACTACATAACTACACACTGGTGCAAACACGATCGACGCTAACTCTCGGAATTCACTACTCAATATTTCCCGAACTATTATTCGCAACCTTTTGTAATATCTCTATTGCTAATATGCCGAATGTAAATGTGTATATATGTTAAAAATAGGATGGTATTTAATTATTTAGGTGCAGCCATCAGTGGCCAAGGGACGTCCTTGGATTACCCTTCACCTGAGCTTCTAATGCGGTGCCATTGTTTTTGATCTACAGTTGATCTGTACACACACAAGGTGACCCGTCCTAACCCCGAGTCAGTCGTCCGGATTCGTCGCGAGGCAAAGTCAACACTCGATCAATTATTCCGCCGCTCTCATTTAGCGGTAATTCTATAAATTAGTGGACAAGCAAAGGGAATGTCTCAGCCAAGCGTAATTTTCCTTGACTATTAATGCATCCGGTAGAGAGTAGCATTCTGTTTTACATAATGAGACAAACAAATAAATCTGGATATGGATTCAGGGCCTACAATACGTTGACGAACGTGCCCGTTTGCTGGAGTAATTGGTTTATATATCTGCGAGCAGTGATACCAATCTTTACACAGATAGAACTGAAGCTCTGTCTAAGCCTTTAGGCTATTTCTTTTGTCTTTTCAATAGCTTGCCCATCCAAGAGTGTGGAGTGGTGGCGGTTGGCGCACGGGGGGGGGGGGGGGGGGGGGGTTGCACGATGTTAATTTGCGAATTAATAGGTTTTCTCTGCGGAATTGCAAATTCTCTTAAATGTCACTTTGTTCAACGTGCGGAGAGCTATAGCCACCAAAGACATGATCTAGAGAAGAGCCCCCCCCCCCCACAGATGCACTCACACTCTGCCAGCACCACCAATAGTCGGCAAGTGTAACATGCTACTTTTAATTTGCAATAACACATGACAATGGCAGATTAATGGCTCTTATGACACCTGTGTCCCTGAAGCTCCTCTTGTGGAGACCCGGTGTACATAACGCATGTCACACTACATTATCTCAACATCCTTCTTGTAATGGGGACCATCTTTAAGGGCACTGGCGGCTCACAAGGAAGAGCTGAGTCCGGCAGACGTTCGGCACAGTACCGCGAAGACTTCAGGACGGACGCCGAAGGCCAGGCAGCCAGCGATGTCACGACGCTGCACGTCCCGTACCTGATCCTGTACGTCACTGACGGCTGTCCGTTCCTACCTAGCTGCCGCAGAATTTTTTTTTTTAGTTATTATGACCTAATGAAGATGAGACCTGCCACACCAAATGAGCCTAAGGTAGCCCCAAGCTACTGTCCTACTATGAAATTTAAACCATGTATTAACTGTCACGAGGCCTCCCTGATGTCTCTGCGTGAAATGAGAACTGCGTTTAAATAACACCCAGTATTTTCAACAATTGGCATGAACTCAAATAAGCAGGCATGAAGTCTTCATCAGGGCCTGATTAGCTTGACGGCAAACAATGCGTGGGGAACGGGGCGCTCCGACACGACGCGCAACACGCATCACCGCTAACTGCCCGTCCCTTCCGTAGCACGCCAGAGAACAACGTGAAAATCAGCCTATTAAAATAGTTATGCTAACATGGTTACTTGTCGTACCAAAAATGATTTGTTGCGTGAGTTATGTGTCACCCCATTATTAATTATATAATTATATAGACCGTATAAAGACCGTGTGTGTGTGTATATATATATATATATATATATATACACACACACACACACACATATATATACCAAATTTAGTGTTGCATTGAAAGGCCATGCATTAAGAATATGAACACAATGCATCGTCATTTAAATATTTAGCGATGCAGTCGCGATGAGAGCAGCATTCCCCATTTAATCTAATGTAATGTATATGGGGTGTATTATACTCATTCAAGAAACCGCCTGTTAAAGCCTTTTGTGTCCGATGCACCTGTCCCAGGCGTCTGTGAGTCCCATCTTCGGGTTTTAGGTGCTTACTGTCTGCCTGCTGTCTGTCCGCGGGTAAGTCTACAAAGATAATCCGCATCCTTCCAAAGCTGTGCTGTGGACTTCTGCTGAAATGGAGGCCAGGTACTGGAATATATGCAAAACTACCCATTTAGCCAGATTTTAGGAGCGACGTGCCACAGATTCGCCAATTATCAGAATGAAAGCCTAGTGAAAACAAAAGCCAACGTCGCAGCCTCTCAGCCTCAGTGATTCCACACCTTCCCTCCTCATGCTTTGTTTCTGCTACATAAGTCTCATTAGAGCTGATGGCTCTTAAGCAGCTCCATATTAATCCTCCCTGATGACTGGACTCTCGGAGCTTTAGGGCTGAACCTGGCCAAGTTGGGGAAGAAAACGGCAGACACTGCATTCTTTACGCGTACGGCGGAGTCCTCCTGATTCCTGACGTTCCACACGATGCATCGCAGAGCTAGAACGTCGTCAACATGCACTACAGCCTTCACCCCATGTAGACCAGGCAACATCTCACAGATGATGCCTTCACACGGAATCCAGGTGTCTGACGAATAAACGAACAAACCTGGTGTTCGCAAATCTAACCTACAACATTCTATTTACCTCCCGTATAACTACAGGGGAAACAACAGCATAAAAGACTGGATTAGCTTGCCAACTGAGAGGACACTAGGGGTGTCTTACTCTTACTGCTAACATTCCCTAAGTTTTTCCCTATTTATTTATTGATTTTCTTATTTATTCCTCCCCCAAAATGATTTTTACTCGCGGTGGCCGGGTGTACCACAGTGTTGTCAATGCACCTACTCAATTTTTCACTGGGGAGATGTTTATTCAATGGCATTAAAAAGGCTATTGCTTACAGAACCTATAATCTATAAAGCCCCTAGGCTGCCTGTATCCGCTCACCAACTTACTCAAAAAGAGCAGAGGGGAAAAAAATGCTCTTTGAGTTGCAATGTCTTGGGCTGACCTGATTGTTTGGCTGCATCATCTTGACATGTAATTATCCTTCTCCTCTTAATCAATTCAGCCAAGATTAATTGCTGAAGACAACTCTGGAGGTCAAATCATGAAATCAAAAAGCCTTTCATTGTCATTCATGCATTATAAATACAGTATTTGTATATTCATAAATGTTAATTTTCTTCCATAGATAAGTTATGGGGAAATTGTCAATAACTCCTTTAGCGAAGAGCTGTTCCTTTTTTCAATGTTTATCAAGTACGTTTCATGCAGTTGTTAAAAAAACAAGTTCAATGTATAAGCCCAACCAATACAGCCATTAAGGCATCTTTGCAGAAAACGGAGCGCGTCTTGAACTGGATTATGTAATTGCATCTACACCCTTTCCAAACTGTAATTCACAAATAAGTGTTCTGTGTCTTTCCTTACATTCAGCATTCCTAATACTTATATAACTTTCATTTCTGATGCATAACAATTTCAGTGAATCCACCGATTATTACCAAGGCACACCTAAAATTACAGTTCCTTTTTATAATATTACAATGATATTACATTGATTCCATCTTGATCGTTCTACATCACTATAGGTGGAGCATGGCGCTTAATACAGGGAGCTAGTTGCAGTGCTTAAATGAAAGAAGAACTGAAAATCAACATTTGAAACAAGCACAGAAAAAAATCACTTTTCTTACCATCCTCTCGTTTCCTCTTTTCGCCATTTGACCGCGGAATACCCAGAATGCCATTGATGGAGTAAGAACCCACTGGATCATTGGAAGCACTGGAAACCGGTGGGGAGGTTGTACTTGGTACTGCAAGAGTAGATAGAATGAAAAGGAGACTCAGCACAGCTCATCACCTGAACAAGACCACTCAGGATACAAGAGTCTACTTATGGCCACAGTATGATGGGATGAATGTCTACCAAACCACAAAACTGTTGTGTTGTCTTCCATATACACCATAAATAAATGCTAATCAGTCAGTAAAAAAATTAAGACCTTCAACAAAAGTACCTCACTTTTGAAAATAAAATTTTAAAAACATCAGAACTTATTTCCCCGCATTGCTATAGCTGGCAAAGTCATGTATTCAAGGAGGAAATCTATACATATATTTGGTTTCGGGCAATTTTATTGTCGATGCGTTGGGCTATAGAATCTAAATGCACTTGTATGTATATACAAAGCAAATTAAAATGAGAGCAGAAAGGCTCCATACCTATGGTGTGGCCAGGAGTTGACAGCGGTGTTCCGTCTGGAGATGGATGAAATGGCTGCTGAACTTTGGTCCGAATAATCCTGCGGAGTCATCATAGTGAATTTTGTATCGATACCATGACTAGAACCAACATTCTTCCAATGAAGCCTTTCAATGTGCATGTGGAAAACAGTAGGTATACATGTGGGTCAATATTTATCATAAATTATGGGGAAAGCCTACGGTTTCTCAGCTCCTGGGTTTGCATCGGATATCTTGAGTATATGTAGCACAGGGCTGAGCCTTGCCTAACAGTAACAGGAACCTCCCTCGAACTGCTAATGCGAATCCAGCTTCTCAAATGCTTTTCATACAGTCACTGTATCTTTAAGGTGTGATTTGGGGAAAACACTTCATTGCACTTTTGGTCTGAATGATCTTGCAAACAAAGCATGAAATCACATCAATTCACCTCAATGATCAGCTTCACTGACTCTACCTGGTCCACACTAATCAGCTACCTCCTATCTCTCCCCCATTCTTTCTTGGAGGGGTTACACAGGTTTTGGAGACTCCTGACTCCCTGCTTCCCAGATCAAACATCTCTGTAGAACCCAATACCCACAAGTGCCAATGCCGACGAGGTTTTATTGATCAAGGATAAAAAGTTGTGGATTAGTCACACAGGCAAACAGATGCAAATAGAATGCTATAAATTACATGTGACAGTAAAGCAATAGAGGCTTACTGCCTTTGCACAAACCTACACCAGCATTAGATTCCTGTAATACGGCTGGCATTTGACAAGACAGAGGCTGCTGTCACAATAACTTTGGAACTCTGAAAGTATTTACCATATATGACACAATTCCTGCCTTGAACGGAAATTTAAGATGGTGGTGATGGATCAGCTTCACCCTAAATACCCCATAATGATTGGGTGCCTTCCGCATTAGCTTTAGATTGTCCGAAAAATACAAAATAAATTTCACCTTAATGAGTCGTAGAACATTGATCACTATCCGTAAAAAACTGTATTCTGCTTCAACAACCAGTAATGAATGTTTTATAATGATTACGATGTTAATATATTACATTTATATATACTCTGTACATCATAGTTTATTCATTCCAATTACTTTGGAATTCCCTAAGTCTCTGATTACATCGTCCTTGTAGTAAGGTGACATAAACTGCTAACACTTTCCAGAAGACACATATCAATATTTTATCTCGATTTCCATTTCTCTCCATAACAATTATTTGCCCCCCCCCCCCCCCCGAGGTGTGTGAGCAGAATATATTTGGGGAGTTTATTTTGTGCTCTTAATATCGAAAAAACAATTTGGGGGGGTAGATTTATGACTTGTTGCTAGAAATCCCCAGAAGAGATATCAAAACTGCTTTACGTTTCAATCAATAGCATTGAAAGCCAATGAAGACCTTTTTCCAATGAGAAAAACAGTAATATTTGTTTACTAAAGCCCTGCTGTGATGAAGAAACAAAGTAGAAGCCCATGGCATTGTAACCGTTAATAATTAATGCTGAGAAAATGTGTTTAAAGCTAGAACATCCTCTTTGGTCCGCAGACCCGAGGTCAGTTTCCTTAGCGTACAACCTTCTTGGCCCTCATACTGCATTTGCACTCTTTACTGCCATAGAACCCTAGAGCAGAGCTGATGCTGATCTGAGAGTGTCAGACCAGCTTCTCTCGATATACGTCAGTGCAGCCAACATGATTCTCTACATCTAACAGGGGAGACTTGTCTGAGGGTGCATTCTGAAGTGAAAAGGATTGTTCCACCTAAAAACGGCCTTTATAGTCCTCTCTTAAATGACAAAAGGAATGAAAATAATTGCTGATTTTTCCGCGGATCTTTAATGACTAATTGATAATCAGTTAACCTGTGGTCATTGTAAAATCACATTGTATAACATCATCCTCTGTAATGCCAACTCATATACATAAAAATATAGCAATACATTTTTTTCCCCCCCGCTTGGCACTGAGCCAATGACAATGTTAAAAATACAGACTTAAAAATTTCACACTAATATGTTCAGATGGAAAAAAATGTATAATGATAAATAAAAGAATTGTTTTAAAGACAAAAATAACAATGAGAAATATTCTACAAGTACTCAGGCATGATATGAACTGCATGCCTGCCATAGCCCAGTAATACATTCAAAAGCAGCATCGATTTCATCCAAAACTTCTGCCAAATACTGTGCATCTTTCAGAAGCCAGTCTCCCATTATAAAATGACAAAAGTCCCTGATTAATGGAAAATAATCCATTCAAGCATTTTCATTTGTAATATTTATTTCTTATTTATTCAATATTTTCTGTCAGCTAGATACACTATAATATTAGTTAAACGTAAATAATATTACATTTAGATAATAATAACGATAATAATTTTCACAAAGACATGGGCTACTTTCTTTCACGCATGGGTGTGGATCTTCTAAGATTAGCCTTGAGAAAGTTGAGAAATAAAACCGCACGTTACAATAGATCAGTGGCTGATTTCAAATAAGATATATTTAACAGAGCTCACAGTTCTGTGAGAAGATTAAAAAAATATCCTTCAACTTCTTATGGTAATAGAAATACATTTCTTTGTATTTGCATTTTAATTTCCCACATAAACAAAGGCCCGTGAAGTGCTTCATTTCTAAATAGCGAGCTTGAATTTAATTATAGAGGTATTTTAATGCCATTAATGCACATTTTAAATGTATCACATACATGTGTCGGAGCCTGCTCAAATTGCCCTTTTTTAAGCAACCACGGTGCATGAAATGAATTTTTTCAGCCTTTCTTTTTCTTAAAGATGTCTTGTGTGAAGCTGCCCGCGCTCTCCCATCAGCTCATTAAAATGTAATGCAGATACCGACTCTATGGAACAGTGCTTCCTAACCAAAGTTCATTACTGGTGTTCTCGGCTAGGGGGTTCCTCGCCGCCGTGTTTCGTCTTTCCCTTCTTGCCTTCCTCTCTGCGTACCCTTGTCCCCTCTGAAGTGAAATATGAACGCTCTCAGGCCGTTTGCCGCCGCGGCTCTTTCCCGTAACCGGCCCGCCTCGCAAAACGGAGCTCAGAAACGTACCGTTTTACTGGGGACGTTGCCTTTTGCTGACGTGTCTCAAAAGCGTCAGATTTGACGTGCACCGCGACCACGTATAAAACCGGCGTGTCGCGCGTAGCACGTGCTTCGATGTTTGCGCGGTTCCGCGAGTTCACACTTTTACTTTCTCGGAGCGTTTCATTTCTTACCGGTTGTCTGTTTTATTGCGGTTATTACACACTCTTAATTTTACGACTGAATCCAATGGTCTTGTACAAACTATGTAAACTACCTTAATGACCAATAAATTAAAGTTAAAAAATTGAAATGTAGATATGCACATAGGCCTACTTAAAATTTAATAAACTGAAAAGCCAAATCAAAAAGCATATTATGTAGGCTATAATATATTTAAATCGAGGTTCTGTGTCTGTTTCTTATAGTTAGCCTATCTGAAGTAGTCTGGTCATAAATAAATTGAATTTGCTGCTCCATTTTTGTCCCGGCATGTGTTTATTTGAAAACATAACTGCAGTAACACAGCTCGTTCACAATATCTGAACGTTCCTTCCCGACGCTGCGCCACTTTTCCCGGTCCCACTGTATCTGATTACAGAGTATTGATCGGTTTTCATCCAGACAGATGTGATTTTGGTACCCTCAGTCTCAGACCTGCTGCTGACGGTTGAAAGATTTGGGATTGAATTGCACAACTGAGACCACCCTCGGCGTGGAAAAAAAGCACACATTTAGCTTTTTTCATATTTATCATAATAGAATAATCCCACACCAAGGCACCAGCACACAGAAGCGCGTTCACACCGCTCGTTATTTTGGTTAGCCATGATACGTCGCCAACTAATGTATATACATACATTGAAATTAATTTCCAATATCATTTTCTAAATTATATATGAATAATTAAAACCACCTGACCTAATCGCAAACAATTTAATAATTAAAAATAATTTGGCCTACTAAAAACATTTTACTGGTAATCGCATTTCAATAAATACTTCGACCTAATTTCAATAATTTTCAATAATATACAATGGTAATACTTAGTCCTTACACTTAGGATACATGTGTAAAAAGTAAGTAGATTCATGCCTCACTAACGCAATATACAAATATAACACATTTACGTAAATTTAGCACACAGTGTTATTATATAGGCATAAATGTGATATTTCCTGTAAGTGTGACTTTGTTCGCTTTCATTAAAGAATATAATAAAGTGACGTGAGTTCTTATTTTTAAATATTTTTTTTCACTCACGTTCTTCCAGTTGGCGTCAAACTTTTGGTAGCACTATAATCGACCCATTGCCACATACACACACACACACACACACTCAAACGCACGCACTATGAATGGTTAACAACTGGCCAAACTCAAAATGTAAGCGTACAACTTTGATCTACAACCAGTGTACTGCAGATGTATAAACGAAACTACGATAAGCTAAAGTACATTTGTTTTACCTGTTGATGGATGACACACTCGGGACCGTGTCATTGTCGCAGATACCTTCTGCCAACAGTCGGTCTCGTATCTCCCAGGCGAACATGGTAGGATTCTGCCGTTTGTAGTCTGCGATTTTATCCACAACCTTAGGAGTTGCGACTTTTGGTTTGGACCCTCCGATTACTCCCGGCTTAATGCTTCCAGTCTCGTAGTATCTGTAATGAAAACTAAGGAATGTAAATATTGTTTGAAAACTAATTGCAGGACTGGTTTATGCGATGTCATTATGTGCCGATTAATAAAGTGCCGCGCTTTAATGTTTTTGTTTTGTAATTAACTGTTGTTTCCACGATTGATGTAGGCTATATTTGCCCTTATTACAAACTTGACGCAGCGCCTGTTTTTCAACTGTAATTAAAGTCAAATAATCAGACCTATCGGTTATGAATTACTTGCAGTTAAGTGACGGATTTACTATGGCTTTACAACAACTTACAAGACAAGGTACCCATACAAATATGAATAGGATTAACTTCTTTGATACATTTCTGAACATGCATTTTCTGCAATGTGCGGTCAATACAGCCGAAGCGTTGTCTCGATAGATGTATTTCGTTTAGTCTATGCAAAAAAAGGTTATATTGAAAGAAAAACATGGGTGGTTTTCTTAACTTCCGTTTAAGTGAAGCTGTGGCCTACGGTTTGGCTTTTTAATGTCTGTGATTTCCATCTTTAAAATGTAATTCATCCAAATAACTTTATTGGACTGTTTAACATAGATTTTACTAAATATAGGATGGGATACTGACACTTTATTCTTCTATATCGCTGAATAGGGGACATGTCTCATTGATATTATTATCTAATATAAAGATAGATATGTGTGTGAAATAGGCATGTGGAAAAAAAGGAAATAAGGATATGATGTATGACGCAAAATTCTTATTTCTCCTACCTGCCAAGAATTTTGCTGACGCAGCCGTGGCTGACCCGTAGTTGCCTCGAGATGTCACAGGGTCTGACTCCCTGGTGCGCGAGCTCTACAATCCTTTGCCTCACCACATCAGGTAGGGGTCTGCCATTCACAAACACCCCGCCTAGCTGGTTTACACCCCCATGCCCTATATGGGAGACAACAGTACATAGAGAGAACCATAACATTACATACATTTTGTAGAGAAATTTGTTCAGGTTCTCTAATTAGTTAAAGATGGACACCGTCACGTTTGATCCGAATACATTTAGTTAAAACAAATTATTGAAACCGTCGGAGGTATTAGCCATTTAAGACTGTGGTTCGGAATTTTTACATGTTCACTCTATTACATCAGAACTAGACTTTAATAATAATAATAATTTTTGCACTTACAGTACATTATCTATATTCGCATTTCTTTAAATAACAGTTTTAAATTTGGATTTTAATGAAATACATTTCTGTGATATTCTTATACATAGATAATGCTTACAGTCATTATCTTGTTGTAATTACGGCAAGTATGTCTTTCAAAACCCACTGAAGTCCCAGTAAGTGATTTTTGTACACTTTTATAATATTCCGAAGCTCGCTCACTTGCAGTAGGAAGGCATTTATTTTATTTCTTCTTCGTGCCAAAATAAGGCCTTTTTGACAAATTCTCCCTGAAAACTCCCGTGTAATACAAACAGCTTAATTTACGAAAACACTTCGATTGCATTAATTCCCTAAATAAATGATTAAAACAGCCGAAGACATTATAGATTTCGAGTTGAACTGTAATAAAGGCGCGTTACATTTTCCTCCTATACCAAGCGAGCCAAGCACATGTCGCAGGTAGGTTATTAAGTTACAAGCTGTTTAATTTTCCTTGCGCAATTATTATAAATAATTAAAAAGAGCTTTGATTACTCATATTACAAATTATTTAGAAAAGGCATGATTAGGAATTAATTATTTAAAAACCCAGTGGAAAATGGTTATCTCCTTGAAAGCCTTGATATCGTGTTGGGTCATATTATTACTGCATCCTAGATCATATTTTTAAATGAATAATCTCGATAATGCAAGCCACTATAGCTCGGATTTTTCAAAATATAGGAATAACAATTACTATTCGGTTTACATTTACACTGAGTCCAACTCTATCCATTTAATTGTATTTTCCTTGCAGAGTTACGGTGTGAACGTTTCACAAATTTATCCAGAAAGAAGTCATTGAACACGGGGTCTTTTTGAAAAATCCTAACCTCTTCGAATACTCGTGAATATACTCAATGTACACGCTACATATTTGAGCATAGCTTAGTCAATATAACCGTTTTATTGCAAGTTATAGAGATGTATATGATTAGGAATAAATATTTCATAGCATTTTGCCTGGCAAGAAAATATACGTGCAGTATTAAGCGCATGTATAAATTAATATATAAACAGAAACAGCGTTTTTCCTGGACTTACATCATCGCATCGATGTACACACATGTCGTTTAATAATTTGCAACGTAAAGAAATGTATTTTACCAAATAGCTAATACAATATATAGGCCTAAATCGGTGTGTCAGTTTTCTGAAGGAAATTCGCATGGTGTCCTTAATAATGAGCTCTATGAAACCGTATATTTCATCTCAGAAGGTACAGAATTAAATCGTCCTAAGCCATAATTAGATGTATTATGGTGGTATTTAATGCGTAAACTCGGAAGCTACCATGGCTTATGGAAAAATAAACACATTTAACTGCGCAGAAGGTAAACATCCACATCAAACTCCTTTACTACTCACGGTGCATCGCTGTGAACGGATCTGCTTTGCAGTGAATATCCATTGGATAGCAAAGAAAAGAAAGATAATCAATTGAAGTCGCCGTTTCGCCTTGGTAATGTAGCTTAAAAGTCAAAGAAACAAAATTTGCGTTGAGACTTTTAAAAACAGCGTTTGCTTTCGGAGGCAACCGATCAAAACGTAACTTCTACAAAAAGTTGTCTTGCGTTAATCAGTCCGTACAACGAAGATATAACAGTGGTTTGTCAGGTGAAAAACATGACCGACACTTCTTTCAAATGCATGTAACAATTCGGCATTCGCAAAACATGATTCGTTCAAACGTTTTATCGCATAATGACGAGATAAGACAATGTATTATCAATTCGTCTTCCTCTGTCCTCTATTGAAACTGCGGTAGAAATTCCTAGATCCCGGTGGCCGTAGCTGGCAGGTCGCGAGCTGGATCAGATATGTACAAAGATGACAGCAAAAACATGGAGACACCAAAATTGTCTTGTGGTCCTCGGCTCTTCAAGAATAGGATGTGCCTGCCGGAGTCTTTGGGTTGAGAATGAAGCCCCTCTGCTTGTGTGTGCGTTTCTAAAAGCTGCACCCCTCCCCAGGTCCCCCTGGCTTATATGGATGACTTGTCAGACAAAGGCAATAGATTCCAACACTTTGTGATTCGCCAACGCAAAAAACTGGAGCCCAAATGAGGAGGTTCCTTCATCTGCCACTTCGAAAGGGGAGGGAAATGAACAGGGAATTGATTTACAGTTTGAGATAAGCGTTCAGAAGAAATAATAATAATAAAAAAAACAAATCACCCAGGATAATTTTTAAAAATATATTTCTTTACTAAAATAAAAACACTTGTTTCATGCTGTTAATTTTGGACAACTGGACGTTACTTTTGTATTTGCCGTTATTTCCTTCCGTTTTAATATCAGCAACATAAACGCCAAATATAACAGTGTCATCGCCTTAACAATAAAGCTAAAATTATGTTACAAGCACCATTAAGACTTTAATGTTTGCAACGACACTAGATCAGGAAGAAGAGTTTAAAGAACACTGGAATATTTTATATTTTCATGTGTATAATTACCTTAATGAAATATAGATGTGCGTCCATTATAAGTCAATGACACTTATCTTCTAAGCAAAGGAAATATGCCTTTGAATTACGAATATTCGAACCAATGTGGAAATGTATACACAACACCATCGAATATGGGAATTTTAGATGTATAAGCATCGGGTTCTAATACTGCTAAAATCACGATTTTGTAAAACATCTAATTGCAATTTTGTCTTTATCGGCAAATTTACCGCTTGTAGGAAATATAAAATAGTATTTGCTAGTTTCCACGTTGACTTCCAGTTCTGTGCTGTGTATGGTCCCTTTCTGTAGATGGCGCTCCTTGGTTTCATTTGTCTCACCTCTCAGCAATAAGACTTAAGGAGGTAAAACTGTCACAAGGTAACTCCACGTAGTAGTAGGTCTGGTAAGATAAATACATTTTTTTCATCTTTAACTGGCGACCTGAATTAAGGCTAAATAATGCTATTATAACGATTAAAAGGGTTTTATATTTTGTAACATTAATTTCATGATATAGTGTATTCTAATAATTCACCGTTTTAACTCTTGCGTACAGCTTCTCAGTCACGCGGTATAGACATGGTGGCATGAAGTACACTACGTAATGTCAATATGTTTGAAGTAACTGCAAAGAATATAGCGAAACTATTGTTAGCTTTCCTGTACCCATAGCATGTACTTACTACGAAGTGTATTTCATTCTTGGTAAAATTGTTTGGATTGTTTGGCGATGGGGTGGGTGGAGGGGAGCAATTTCAACATATATGATATATTACCCCCTAAAATAACAGCCACCTATTTCTTTCTTAGGCAGATCAGAGATCCTTACAGTTTTCATTAACCTTTTACAGAAGGAAGTACCCCTTATTTCCACTTCAAAGGACCTACACGTGACTTCAAAGAAAACAAGTTTTTCGTAGTTTAAGAGACCGTTCGGCTTCACATCCTTATATTGTCGATAAAGTAATGAATTGCGCACTGTTTCATTCAAACCGTGGTATGTCTATTAGTCACATGTTAAACTGTGTTTGCTATTTCCGAGTTTCTCTGAAAAAAAATCTTGTATATTTTCTGTATAATAATAATAATAATAATAATAATAATAATAATAATGCAGCCATTGTCGCATTTTAGTTAATTGTTATTAGTGGTTGATTTTTTTGTTATGATGAAAGCAAGCCAATTGGAGTGGATAAAATAAAAATAATGTATTTAAAGAACTCTTTTAAAAATCAACCATCACCTCTTTAATCCAGTCAAAGGGGGCCGCCGTTATTTTAGTTTATTTATTTATTTATTTATTTATTTTTATTTATTTATTTGTCTGAGGTTTGTATACTCCTGGTGAAATTGCCCACGTGCAGAAGATCTGAACTTTGGATTGTTGGGTATCTCACAGGGAAAGGGCGCCGTGTCTAGTGGTCTGCCTTGTAGTCAGGTTTGGGGATGATTTTTCTTTTTGTTACTGTTTTTGGAGGGAGCTTCTGGTACAATATGTAGCACCATAGGCTGTAATTTCACACCCCACTGCACATAACCCCTAAAGCTACTTTTTCTATAAGACCCCCCAATTCTCTTCCCCTCTGCCCTGCTGCACTCTGCTATTTCTATATTATTATTATTATTATTATTATTATTATTATTATTATTATTATTATTACATTGGCCTGTTCTAGTGCAATAATGATGTATTTTTAGTAGATGACTACAAACGTTCCAGTTAACCTTTGTATTTGTAACGGTGCTTTCCTCAATTTAAGTGCATCTGCCACTAGTACGGCACGTGCGTAAAGTCTTGGGCTTTCTGTTCGGTTCCTGGGTCGACATATAACCCCGCTTTTTAAATGGGGGCCAATCCATTCAAAACCGACACTGGGTCAGGTCCTCTTTAACAGCTATTCAGCGGAAATTAAACAAAAGGTTAAATCACTATGCGCTCCCAATGCTTCAGTTCCATGGTTGGTCTCTCATTTATCTGACTATTAATTCTGTTGCACTTATCTGTCGCGATAGTTAATACACAACAGACTGCTTCACAGTTAATAACTGCTTTAATTCATTAATATCATACACCTATCTGGTGTACTTTTGGAAGTGTTTTCTTTTCACCATAGTCAGACCTGTAATAATAATAAAAATGATATTTTTGAACATTAAAGCATTTTTCTTTAATTTTTTTAACCCTTAATTTGCAACTTTATGTGTGGTTATGAAAAACAGGTTATTTTAATTGTCATTTGTCTTTCTAAATAATTTAATCGAGTATAAGGTCCATTATTGTCAAACTGTTTTGGTTAACACTCATAAAGTGTTAATATTGCTGTATTAAATATTAATATTATTCTAATCTGTGCAAACCTGGGTTGTGTTTTTACACTGCATTGTTCACAACTTCCCCTAACATTCGAAATTCATTCAGATTTTGCTGTAAATATATAAAGATACATATTTTAGGTTGTAGATAATGTATTTACTACCAAGAAAGTAAAGTCACGTTGAAAGTAATTTATTCTGATAATAAGTAAAATTAAAATTTGGCAGCTGTAGTTTACTTGAACTATGAAAACAGTTGTTCTTCTATATTCTTATTTATAGTAACTTATATATGCGTACATATATATGTGTGTGTGTATGTCTGTATATACAGCAAAACTATTTTAATAGAATGTTGACGCCTAATTAAAAAAAATGTTTGCTAAAGTGACAGAAAGCCATTTGTCTTTAGCCTCAGCTGCTAATGGCCTGTGGATAAGTGGAATTGAGAGTGAAGGCAGTGGGGGGAGAGAGAGAGGGAAAAAAAAGATAGGACGGAATGGGGATCTCCTAAGATCGTTCGAGCTCCGGAACCGAGAAGCTGAAACCCTTCTGATCTACCCACATCCATTCGATCATATAATCTTTCCAACAGTAGCAAGTGAGGCGAACAGTCACGAGCGTCCAATGCGGTAAATTCGGGGATTTCGATTGTTTTTTCTCGAGCCTCTGTTTCATGTTTCCATTCACCTTAATATTATTATGCCAACGTCACCAATCGATATGGCGTTTCCCCCCTAGACCTGTCGTGCTCATCAGTTGGAAGCTGGCATCATTCGTTGTAAGTTGAATATCAAACCTTCCAGAGAGATTATTTGTATAAACCTTTTTTTCCTGAACTGTTTGTCTGGACCGTATAAATGCTGTAGTAATAGCTGTACAGTAAATTATGTTTGAAAATGTTACACCTTGGTTATTATTAAAACTTTACGTGCATGTGACAAGAAAACAATGTAAAAGGGGTAATCTGTGCTTTTTATTTTACGTGAAAGAATGTTATTTTTACGGAATTTGTTTTATTAGTGTTTTGTGCTCATTATTTTTGTTAAGTTACGATACTTGTTAAAGTATTAACAAAACATGCAGGGTTTTGCAGTGTTTTGTCAAGGCCACTAGCCCTGGACTTATTGTGATCTGTTGAAAAATTCATATTGGTCGATACGTTAAAAACATTACATAGCGATGCATGCAATAATTAGATCGTTATATTTAAAATGTTCAGAATTGGGTGTTTACAAATATATGTGACCCATTCTCTCTGTAAGCTGCTTATACGAGAAGACACGTCATCAAGTGTCGATATTATCAATATTTTTATGCATGCATACAGATATTCTGTATTAATAAATGCTCTCGATACAAACCGGCACCAAAAGCATGCGATCTTAAAACTAACGCGGTAAACTGCTACAATTGTTCCCAAACTATGGGGTCTCATTGAGTTTAAACCGACGACGACTTCAAAAATATGAATTATTAAGGAGATTTTAGCGTTCTGGACAACACAGTGCATATATGGCATTTTACTTAGAAATTAAGTTAAATTAAGACGAATATAAAACACTTCACGAGGTTTATTGCTTGTAACAAGTACTTAAATATGAAATAAATTCTGATATTTCCCTTGATGAGTAAATACATACAGGTTCTGAAAAAAAATGTTTCAGACGGACGTGGTCGGGGAATGTAAAATTATACCCCAAGCCTCATTCTATTAGCTACGTCCTTTGATTGCATATTCATGTAGTCTATAGGGCGAACAGATGGACCATCAATTTAATCTATCCTCAACAGCATCAGAGATTGATTTTGTACTTGCTTTTAATTTTGCAATAATTAATTAGATCATTACAACAGTTTTTCATTGATCTTCCCATTATAAACCTAAAATTAAACTGTGAATTACAAATAATCTATGTTTTCAAGTAGGACAATTTAGGAGAGTGTACACAATAGAAAATATGTCAAATCACCTTAATATCGTTTCATATTTTACTCTAAAACTTTCAACAAGGCAGGGTTCCTTGCTTAAATAATCTAAGAATTTGCAGCGATGTGTTTTCCCTGTCTTGTATTTTGAGTTGAGGATTATGGCCTATCATGACAGTAATCTTTATTTTTTTTTCAAATCCAGGTTACAAACAATTTATGGTTCCCCTGAGTTTGGTAAAAGTAGATATGATGACTTTTTATAAAATACATGCATGCGTATAACACACTATCACACACAATAATAACAAAGGCAAAATCAACGACAATACTATACCATTATCATTAATAATAATGCACTGTAACATTGTAATGTTACTTATTTACCATACATATCTGACGCCCCAAGAAGTTTAGCATCACAAAATAAACAAACCAACGTGTTTTTCTTGTAGCACACTGTCAGTGTAAAGGAGAATATTGTTATTATCACCACTTAACAGAACAGTTCACCATTATCAAATTATACCAAGGTATGTATGTAGCCCATATTAAAAATATTTTCTTAAGGTTTGCCAAATTTGAACTGGAATAAATTAGAGATCGTGTTCACTAAACCTGGTAATCCTACTGATTTGTGAAAATTGCCTTGATAATTCTGAGGATACTGTCCCTTCCCTGTAATACATAATTGCACTAATGAAATGTAAATGTAGGCCCTGTGTATTTTTACAACTATAATTTGTAAACATATTGCAGGAAACGTCCTTACATTTGAGAAGGGATACTACTCGCGGACGAAGCGTACATACTTCCATCGTGGAATTTCTAATTGCCAAATAACAGGTTTTGGATTGCGTTTAATGAAAACATAGTAAATGAAATAAAACGTGACACTGACGGCTGTGATGGCCAGGTCACCTACACTTAATCTGCGGAACTCTGAATGATGTTATCGCGGGACAAAATCGTCATCTTTCGACAACAAACACACGAGCTCACATGATTCGTAAGAAGCGGATAGGGAGCAGTAGGGTAAAAATAGAATCCATACCTGATCGCCCAGCGCTAGGAGCCATAGCTTCTGTCTGTCTAATGGTCCGTCTCTTTGATGCAGCTCACTAAGGCCGGCCTCCTGTGCTCTCCTCCCGGCTGGGCGTCTAGTCTTTTCCCGTGGTTCTCAGAAGCTATGACTGATCATCCCAAACTAAACGATTTAGATGACTACATAAAAGGAAACGCGGTTGATCTGGAAATTAAGAATATAACGCGACGAGTGTTTAGAGTGTTGTAAAAAGAGCTAAATTAAGGAACGTGCCTTCTAACACTTACTACAAGGAAAATGTACTGAATTTTACGTTGCACCCTTTTCAGAGTAAATCGAAAGCTACGATTTGATGCTGTTGTTGTTATTATTATGATGATTATTATGACTATTAGCTTGAATATTTACATTAAGTATCGTCCTGCATTATTTAGCTTTTAAAAACCTTCTCCCACATATATGAAAGTTTAACCCGAAAAGTTCAATGACGAGTTGGGTGTTGCAAAGACTGATTACAGAAGTAAGCTGCCTATTGGCTGAACTCAGGAATGAACCTGCAAGTGAAGTAGGAGGATCTATTTAATCATAAATCACATCTATACAAATAATAATATTGGAGAAGTAAATGACAGCGGAATCTGTTCGATATAATTGTCTTGACGGTGAGGCGACAGTTGGGCGTATTCAGAAGATGATAATTGAATTCCGCAATGGAGCCAGGAGATGATTTAAAGTTTATGGAGTTTGTGGAGGCGTGGTTCGGATGTGTAGATGTGTGATATGAAGACAATGTAGAATTGTTAGTCTCACTGTTCGTTCTTTGACCTATTAGTAGGTCTATTCATTCAGTTTCACATAAGTGACCAGACGTACAATTACTATAATTTAAAAATATTTATACAGAAGTACATGGCAATTAAACAGTTGTAGTTCTTTTCTTCCTTGAAAACGCCGTAGAGATGTCAATATCATTTGTGTTATCTAAATAAGAAAATATCAGTACCGGAGGATTATACCGTGAAAAGGTGAAAATACACACACAAAAATAAGAGGCGTTCAAAAATCTCCACAAACAAATTGACTAAGGTATTATACATACATATATATTTTATTATCTGAATAATAATGAATAATAATAATAATAATAAGAATAATAATATAATTTTAAGCATAGTTAAATATAGCAATGAATGACATCTATCTATCTATCTATCTATCTATCTATCTATCTATCTATCTATCAGTTGAAACACATTAAATTAAAACAGGTTAATAAATATCATATTCAGTATTATTATTATTATTATCATCATCATCATCATATAAATCGAAAAACAAATATTCTATCTATTATTAAGACACAACTTTCATAAATGTTTGGTCAGAAATAGAACCACACCATAAAGAGCAAACTATCATTAGGCACGTATGTCTCAGTACATGTGCAGTATTCTTGATATAAGAAAGTACTTTTGAAATAATTATGAAGAAGTTTATGATTAGTAATCTATTTGTTGTGTATTGGCCTTTTATCCTACTTGGTGAAATGTACCTTTTTTGGCCAAAATATGAAATAATTTCTAATTTTATGAACATACAAAGAAGCGTGCATCAATTTACATGATCAGAACAGTAACATAACAAATTTGTATAATATATATATATATATATGTATAATATATATATTGTGTGTATATATACAATGGGCTCTGAACGACAAGTGAAAATTAGGTGAAAATGCATTCAGGTTAGATTACTTTAATAAGACTAGACTTTGTTAAATTACTTTTTATACCCTAAGCGCAAAATCAGTCAGAATGTGGAGTTAACCGAATTCTTGCAGCCCCGGGTCCAGCAAATGATTAGCCAAAATTAACATATAATTTGCATTTTAAACACGGGAAATTAAAAAAGATATTGCTGAGTACACGAAGGCCTATTATTTCTTTGACTTTTTTGTCCATGAACATGCACCGATATCATTCCTCTTCCTTTTAATTCCCTCCTTCTTCCTCTTGTAATTATTATTATTTAACCATTATTTTAATCATATTACAGTTTACGGCATAGGTACGCATCAAGGGACTATTTATAATAGTTTATATAAAAATAAATAAACGTGTATCTTGTTGTAATGCGCATGTCTTGATCAAAAGGTTTTCTACCGTTTTTAATCTGCTTACACTTTACATCTGCATTAAGAAATCAGTTAATGCGCTGATAAATTTTTCGGATTATACTCATAATATCTCATTACTGTAAATATTGGATCATAAACTTGTTTTTTTCCTACCTGAAGGGGCGCTGTAATTCATGAATATTGGAAGCTTAATTCTTATTTGCACAAAACTCGGAAAGGAAAAAACGGAAGCGGAGGAAAAATGGAAGAAGAGAAAATAGATTGTGCTTTACTGGTGGATTTCAGAGATTTATTTGTTTTATAATAAGGAATCCATGATTAAAATTGTTGCGTCAGATGCTTCAGTTATATTTTTCATCGACTTTAACGGAAGTGGAAACAATGTAGCCTATGTTTTATCACTCTCCTGTATATTAATAAAATTCTAACATGTATGGTGTGAAATTCAATAAAAATGTGGGTAATATAAAAGCTGGGCAATATTATTGTCTTACTTGTTTGAATTTTTCCTCCGATTTGTAGTTTCACTCCCTGCCCGGGTCACGTGCGTTTGAAGGTGGCCCCACAGAGGTACCACTTATGTAACATTAATAGGATTAAACGTAAGGTCAACCTATCCCTTATATATGTTAAAACTGTTTACCTAAAATTAATAATGAAACAGAACAAGTTTACCAATGAACGATCGTCACTCTAACATCTCCGCATCATTTAAGTTTGTTTTGCTGCAGATTCGGCTGGATCACACGATGATATTTATTTGTGCCTAAAGGTATAGGAGCACTTTGGTACTTTACCGACACTTGCCATTTCTTTGCTTATACAAACCATGTGAGGTTCACACTTTTTTAAATTAGAAAATATTGTCCGTCCAATGCATTTAATTCGGGACTTCTTAGTTTCGGGTAAGTATGATGTATCATTGCATATAAAATCATTGCATATAAATTTTTTTTTTTCCTCATTGCATATTAAATTTCGAGGAATAGTCCTCTCTGCTTCTCTTAGGGCCAATTTAATATTCAGCTTTATTTAAATCACACAGGAATAAAACATCATTAAAGTCCCACAACACGTCAAAGAAGTTCATACAAAATGCAGATTTTCGGGTAATTATGAAATGTGCCCTGCAGTACATGATTAAAAATAGGAATGTGTGTACATATTTGGACTGATAAAATATTCTTTATGTTGCTCTTCAGTAGGGAAATGAACACAGCCTATACCCCACCCTGCCCCCAACAACCCTCATCTCACTTTCCAACTGAATAGTCAAAGGTGTGTCTTCAGGACAGAAGAGATTGTACTTAACTAAAATTGCAACGGAAGGCCTCGCTTTTAGTGGTACAGTACACGAGGAGCTACTTTTCTCATTAGCGTCTTCACGTTATTTCCAGTGGTTTAAAACACGAGTACAGACTGTAATATATTTAAATATGTACATGGAGGAAATCTTTGTGATTAAACCACAATAGATTTAAAAGTAACTCTTGCCTTTTGCTATTTTAATTTTAAGATATTACCGACCTTAAAACCAACCTTGGAAATTTGCCTTCACCCAGTTTTAAATCCTGGTTTTCCACTAATACATTTTAACCGTTAGATGAAATAGCTCTGAGGGCCACTGGACGGTCTTGAATCAAGTTTGTATGGTGTGGATTAATAAACTGGCTGATATGTAATCATATCTATCTATCGAACTTTGTCCTGAATGTATTAAGTGATATTCAATATTTCCTTACTTTGATACGGGGACTGAAGGGTTCAATCAATCAGCGTCTAAGTAATTTCTTATTTTTAGTGATGTCCCTGTATCGGCGTATTGTAACGAACCAAATTTTGATTTAATTGATCGGTTAATCAATTACCTAATTTTGCGTTGGGTTATCCCGTCAAATTTAGGAGTAACATTATAACTTAACAATATTTGCAATTCATTTATAGCAGTTCATGTATCTCATTCGATTTGTAGGCTATGTTTCCAACGTTTTTCCATCCAATCAATTTTAATAAAGACTTAATTTTGTCGACCCTTTCCAATGGTAAAAAAAAAGTTTTATAAAGTCCCCCTAAAAAGAGGGAAGTCTTCAAACTTTTGCGTAGTCTATATCCACAAATTCACTTTTGGGGACAAGATGCAAAGTATTTATTCGCGAATTTTTGGTTGTAATAATACCAGTAGCCGTTTGCTTTGAATGTATTTTTTTTCTTGGATTCCGTCTTTTATTCGAAGTCATAGAACAAGCCGTTATGCGATACTGCTGTTTTTCACTTTGCATCTGAACACCAGGAAAAGATCCGCAAGAAAACACTCGATAAGAAAAATGACCGCCTGAGCTGTTATAACAAAATTTGTGTCTCAAACAAAGAAGTCTTCCACCGAAAAGTACTATATTTAATAGATTTTTTGGTCTATTGATCTGAATTTTGTCGTTTCAGATATATTTAAGCGGTGGAAAAAGTCCCTACAAAATGTTTGTTAACTAGGCAATACAGCAGCTATAATATTTTAATGTTGGATTTTATAGCTTCACCATGGTCTATCGTTCTTGTGAATATTCTAATATCGCGTTTTTTATAAGTTACTCTTCTGTTAATGTTCCAGTAAGTAAGTTTTATTGTCCTCCTTTGATTTTTTTTGTTCCCCCGCGCGGTTAACCTATGGTGAAGTTTATTCTTCAGTATCCAATTGCAGATAAAGGGGGTAGCTTAAAGAGACGCGCACTTTATTGTAAGTGCTGCTACGTTGTCTTTTTTTCTCCCAAGATGCATTTCACTTATGACGCCTTCCTACGCCGTTATGGTTTCCTGTTTTAATGCGTTGCTCTTTAACCGCGAGCTTAACTTGTAATAACGAATACATTTAAAGCTCACTTTCTAATACATCATTTTGGTAATGCTGCCTATATGCTGCTTATTGCTTGTCATTCACATTTAACACCATCTTCCAGTAGAATAGAGGGGGTGAAGTTTTTTCCCCCGCGTGGATTTCCATTGCTGCAGGTAATGACACTGATAAGAAGAAACTACAGTATAGTAAAATAAAGCTGCATATAAATGCACGGATATTATTATTATTATTTTAATTTCTTTGACATCCTTGCCAACGTTTAGCAATTTTATATCACGGCTTTATCCATGGAACTGAAAAAAGCATTACCGACATTACATGCAACGACAGACCATCGTGCACCTGTGGTATAAGCCAATTTCCCATTTGACTAAATCCATACATTTTAATGGTCACCTACCTATAGGTACTAGGTTGATTAATGGAGATGACTGTCTACCAGCCTGAGGCAACACAATGTCGTTGATGGCATTTAAAAGTTCTTTTATACCACTTGCTCTGCTGTACATTAGATTTTTTTAAATGACATGTAAATATCTTAAGTGGTATCGATACTGGTCATCAATAATGAACACGTATGATTTGTTCTGATGGAATCCTTTTTTTGTAGAATTTTCCACAGGAATCCTTCTTTCCATTCATTCTTACCTCTATGTCCACCGTTTGTGATTGTATTTAAAACGGCTTTGCACCTTTGTCAGCCGCACAATCCCATCTCTGCATAATCTATTCGCGTGTGTCAGCCCTCAGGCTGACCAGGGGAGTCTCAACCCAGCTGCCACTTTCCAAAACAGACAGGAAACAGCTTCCACAAGCATGCCCTCAATATGGGGAACGGTGCTTCTGTCCAATCGGCCCATGGCAATCGTTTAGTCTTTGTTTGCCCCCTGGCATTTTGTGGCGTCTTTAAACTAGCCATTGACTGTGCGCGGATAATGCGTCCGACGATTGGATCTGGTAACACTGCCAGCCTGCAATCTTTCCTCAGACAGATTTATGATTCTCATGGTTATCATTAAGAGGGAATTAGGTTTATTTTGTTCAGATGCTTTTCTGTGTTTATTTTCTAAGGTCATTTATCAAAGCAAAGTAAACAAACA